TGTTGTTTCTGAAGCATAACCTTCTTGTCACGACTGACAGGGCTGTTGGAGAGACCAAGGTGTGACAGAGTCTCACCCTTCTAAGTGTGTATGGCCTAGTTAGGGAATTATGGCCTAAATACAGGAAGAAAAAAATTAAATAAAAATAAATAAATACACAAAGAGTCCAAAAACAAGTAACAAATAACCATTCAAACAAGCTATTGAAAAGGTGTTCAGGAACACAGTGGCACTGCTCAGCCCCAGGAAAGGTAGCTTTGAGAAGAAGGGCTCCCAGTGCAAAGATGGCTGAGGAGGCCAGAGTTAGAGAAGGAGAAGTGAAAGGAGGGCTCTGAGGATGAGAAGATGTGAGGACTTGGTGGTGAGGATGAGACTGAGGAGGGTGGGAAACCAAAGGAGTTATGATGGAGTGGTACATGGAACTGAGAGGATTGACATGTAGGTGATTCTGTGGGAAATAGGAGCTTTAGAGCTCAAGACAGCCTCAGATAGATAGGAAGGGCCCAGATGGGGCGAAATTGGTGCTACAGGAAGAGGAAGCTCATCCTCCTCCTGTGTTTCATCTTTCTTTTGTGAAGAAAATACCTAACTGCCTCATTCTGGAATGAGATCAGCAAAGCCTTGCATTAGAACTTAATATGGCTTCTAATATCTCTCTCTCTCTCATTATCCGAGAGTCAGTTTGATGCAGAAAAAGCCACAACTATTATGTTTGTTTAATCCTGTTCAAGTAATCACTCCCAACAGCCACATGTGCTGACCACAATTAAGCTTTGACAGTCAGCATCAGTCAGTGTCAGCCAGTCAGTCACTGTGAGGCAATCAGTGAATCAGGTGAGTCATTGACAGTCATCCAGTCAGTCATTGTGTCTTGTTGGTGTCTTGTTGGTCTATCTGTCTCTGTCAGTTATTATCAGTGTTAGTAGGCTAGTCACTGTCAGTCAGTAGGTCAGTCAGACAGTGTCAGACAGTCCATCAATGTTAGTCAGTGTCGGTCAGTCAGCCAATATCAGTCAATATCAGCCAGGCAATAAGTGCAGCATTCAGGTAGCTTCTGAGCACTGTGCCCTCTGTCTTTTCGTTTATTTACCCAGCACCTTTCCCGAGCCTGGGAATTAGGATGGGATAGGTATGTCATTCCTCCATGAGGCTAGAGAGGGGTCTCTAGAAACTCAGGATGAATTAATTACCAAGCTAGGTCAGCCCACCTGCTGCTAGGCTAAACTTTGTGAGCTCTGAAGGCATCAGTTCAGAAGTGCGTCAAAGAGAACAATGTCAGCTTTGAGCCTCTTCCTCCCCCCACATGGGTTTTTGGCCTTATTCCACCAAAGTGCTCTGGCCTCAACCCAGGACTGGTATAAAAGCCAGGATGATGCGTTGGGCTCTGTAGTAGCAGGTCCTTTGCTTTCCTCTCACGGAAGGCAGTGTTGTCTGTGGATGGGCAAACACAAGGTGTTTCCTAACCCAGCTGCTTTTTTCTCAAATAGGACAATAGTTGAGGAGGTGGGGGGGGCTGAAATTTCGAGTCTTGGCCTAGTCCAAAGATTTGACCATTGTTGTTGGCATGTGTTTTGTCTGCCTAAACAATGTCCCCCTTTCTTTGAGAGAACTACTCATCTCCCCTCTCCTTCAACACCCACTCACCCTGTGGATTTGTGCAGGGACTCACAATCACAATGCATGCCCTTATCCTAGCCAGATGTGGATGTGAGACCCAGGCTGAATCAACTGTAGTACTTCCTTATTCTGCAGTGATTGGTCCAGGGATGGCACATGACCCAAACCAAGCCAAACAGAATTCTTCTGGATTTTTCTGAGGCTGCATCTTGAGTCCTTTGCTAGAAGCATATGTCTCTAACTCTGCCAGCAGAATGGGCCATTGTGTAGGGGAGAGCTTAGAAAGGGGTAATAAACAGAAGGAAACAGGTCCCAAAGGAAGCAGACCAAAGGATAGAGTTTCTAGCCTCTAATTCCATTCAGCCTTGCAGCTGCCTCCATCTCCAGCTTCCTGCCATTTGGTTCTGTGAACCAGAGTTGTAGACAAAGAAACTTGCTTAATACCAACACTATAATTGCTGTCAGTTTTAGACACCTCTTGCCCATTTGGAAATGGATGATCCAGTTAGTTTGCCAAAGCCTAGCATCTTCTGCCCTTTTAGTCTCTTGCATCAGGAGTGGACAGGCACAGCCCAGGGTGGCACCTCAGTCCTCAGGTGTATACAACAGGTAGACCCTCAGGAGGAGACCTGAGGGACCTGCACCTTCCCTGGTGGTCAAGGCCTTTTCCAGCTATGATGGGTGTGTCTTCTACTCAGTGCTCTGCTATAAACACATTCTGGGTGCTGAGAATGTTTTCTTGCTTGTCTTCTTGGTGACTTTATAGGCATGTGACCTGTGCAGTCACATAAGGCCCCACACTTAGAAAGATCCCATGCTTGCTTCATTGTTCTGTTATCGCCATCTTGAGATTCTTAATCATTTGGAATAAAGGGCCCAGCATTTTAATTTTTCACAGAGCCTCTCAATGTATGTAGTTGGTCTCGGCTCTGTGCAGTCCTCTGTGGTAGAATTTGTAATGCCAGTGAATCATTCCAGCTCCCAGAACCCCTTTCTCCATTGGCCCCACATTGTGTTTTCCTTATTCTTTAATGTCTTTCCCCTCCACCAGTCTCCTATAACCTTCTCCTCATCCTGCTCCTATAGGAAGACAGACTGACAAGCTCTGCAGCCTCACCACCACCATACCCACTCCACCCAGCTGCTGGCTCATCTCTCCCCATCCAAGTTCTATGTAAAACCAAAGCTCAGATTTGCTTTCTTCAAACTGTTGTTATGAGTGGCTGTGCTTGCTTCTGTCCCTCAAACCTCAACATTTTGAGGCGATGCAGCCTCAAATCCTCTTCCAGATGGAGCCTTTCTAATAGGAGCTGTCAAGAACTCTGCTGCAAGTTCAAACAAGCAGAGCTGCCTTTATGAGCCCACTTCATAGGTCTGGGATGAGGATTTAAAAGCCTAGGAAACAGGTGAGCAGCCTGTGTCCTTCGGAACAACCAGCAAAGGTATGTGCTTGCCATGGGCCTGCCACCTCTCTGGGAAGGGTGGATTCCAGCCCCTCTTGTCCACCTCCTGGGAAGCATAACACCGAACAGCAGCTGCAAAACTGGCCACCATCTCAGGCTTCACACTCAGTACTAAACATGTGAAAACCCAGTGGAGGAGGAGGAGAGAGAGAAATTGATGCACAACTTGACAATGCAGTCCAAGTGTGCTAAAAGGGATTTATTTCTGGGGCACAGTAACTGCCATGCAAGAAGGAACATTCCATTTACCAGTCCCATCCATGTTTTTGTGTCACAAAGACATACTAAGACTTTGGGAAAATTCCAAAGGGAATTACACTTGAAATCTGCTGTTTCTTCACCTTTTTTTTTTTTTTTTTTTGGCACTTATCTTTATCACATTGAACCAAACATAATAGCTTTACAGCTTACTAAAACTCAAACTTGTCTTCACAGGAAGCAGTTTAAACATTTCCAACTGTAAATAAGCAATCCAGTGATTCTCCATCAGGAGAGAAAGCCAGAGAAACCAAAAGCTGTTCAGCCAGTGCACTCGTCAGGTTGAGAACACGAGTTTCAGAAATCCAGCTGCTCTGGGAAAAGTGGGCCTCTTCAGAACAGAGAACCCAAGATGGTAAGGCAACCTTGTAGGTACAGCACTCTCCTTGGGAAAAGGAAGGAAGGAACAGATCTGGCTGGAGCCAGGTAAGAACAGGGATTAAAAAGAAGGAGCTGAGCATGGTAGTACACATCTGTAATGCCAGCTAATGGGGAGGCCAAGGAAGGAAGACCACAAGTTTGAAGTCAGCCTTGAACACTTAGCAAGTCCCTGTGTCAAAATACAGAAACAAAAATGGCAGGGGGTATATCTTAGTGGCAGAGTGCTTTCCTAGCATACAGGAGGCCCTGGGTTCAATCCTCAGTACCATAAAGGCCAAGAATGACAGAACATCATTGCAGTGTTGCCAAAGGATGGCATTTACCATGAATAAAGGCTGGAAGGCATCTCCCTGAGGCACTCTCTTGGCTGTGCCAGCAACATGTGTAGCCCAGTAATAAACTGGAAGAAGTTTCCCTGTGCACCTGCCAGACAGCAGGGACTTGAGGGCATTGAGGACCCGGTTCCACTGGCAGGTGCCCACATGCTCCCTGAACAGCTAGGCTACCAAGTCACTTAATGAACACAGGCACCATCATCCAGAGGGCTGCCATGATAACTAGAATGGGTGGGTGCCTCCCAGGGGTGCCAGGGCCCCTGACAATGTGGCATCTGCGCTCTGGCAGCACTGTCTCATTTCTTGTCCGGTGCAAATGGGTGGTCCTTTTTCCCCTCAAACACAGAGCAGTAGCTGTCTGGAAGAAACAGAACAACAGGAAAGTGGCGATGAATGCCCATGAGAGCCCAGCTCTCTGCTGATGCACCTGAAGGTTTTTGGGCAAAAACTTCTGACTCCTGGGCCCCCCTGGTTTACTGTAAGTTGTGGCTTAGGAGGGCTTGTTCTAGAAACTACTGTGCTGGGTGGCTGAAAAAAACAGAGAGACCGACACTGAGTGAAGCAGTGTGTATGGGTGGTGTGATGCGCGTGGAGGGCCCCTGAGCAGGCCCTCAGGGTCAAATGGCCCTGCCACACTCACAGTCCCACACAGCCACACAGCAATGCTAGGTCCCCTTGTGCGTGAGGTTAGCAATAGGTAACATGAAAACTTCCCGTAGCAAACATCCCCTGGCCACCTGACTGACTACATAGTTCTCTCTTCTTTTCTTGTCTTTTTTTTTTTTTTTTTTTTTT